AGTTTAAGCATGCGTGGGATAGGCATAAGGCTATCCTAACTATAAGATAAGGCCAGGGACTAATGAAAGTATTTAGAAAATTGGGCAGACTAGAATGGTTCTTATCTGCCTTCACATTCTATGTTTCTATGTTTCTATGTTTATCAGTTGAGCAATTTCTAAAGCTTTTGTCTGAAAAATACCAGTTGAGGGAGCAGTCTGCTCTGTATAACTTGCTGGAATGCCACTGTCAATGATTGGTGTGGTTTCTTATCATGTAGGCTTGTAGTATGTTTTTTCCAGCAAGAGTTGGTAGTAATTATAGCATAGGTGGACTTTTAGGCTAGCTACGGGTTAACAGTAAAAAAATTAAAAAAAAAAAGTTTTTTAAAAAAAGTTTTAAAAAGTAAAAGTAAAGTTTTATTAACGCTTAAAAAAAAGGAAAAAAAATCCCACCCCAGTTTACCCAGTCCTAATACAATTTTAAAAATACAAATCACAGTATTATACTGTGATCAAAAAATATTTTGAACACCTGAGGGTTAACTTTTATTTATTTTGTAACCCTTTACGGGTTCAATTTTAAATTAATTAATTTAAATATTTTAAAATGATATATTTAGCTAGTTAATGGGAAATTGAGGAATTTACTGTTAGGCTAGTTAGGGGTTAACAGTAAAAAAGTTTATAAAGTGAAGAAAGTATAAATAAGTTTAAAATGAAATTAATAAGAAAAAAGTTTTAAAAAAGGTTTTCAAAAGTAAAAAAAGTTTATAAAAGTAACAAAATACATTAAAATATGCTCATTACCACTACACCTGGAACAAACTAGCAAAAAAAAAATGATTTCACGTTAAGGTTCAAAATATGCCTTTTGAAATACCCCAGGGTGTATTCTTTAAAAAATGGTATGCGTTTGTGGGGTAGTTTGAATAACCAACCAGCTAAACTACTCCAAAATGGTACATGGACACAGCGTAAAAATTTGAAGTTTGAAAAAACTGGAATGGCTGTGTCTCAAATGTGCCCCCTTCAACATCCACCTATACCTGGCAAAGATACATACACGGGTATTACTGTACTCAGACGACATAGCTGAGCAACCTATGATGTATTATACAACCGTAGCACACATATGGTTTGCAAAATATACTGTGCAAACTCACTTTGTGCGTCAAAAAGTCAGCAAAAAAATGCTTACTACCACTGCACTTGGTAACTTGGTACAAGGTTTGAAATACCCTGGGATGTCTTCTTTAATGGTATGTTTTGGAATATGTCTCCTGCTAAAGTGCTCCAAAATGGAACACGGACCCATCAACACCATCTATAAAAATTCACACCTAAAAACCTAAACTTGTCACGTCTCTTTTACAGCATTATAACTTCACAAAATAGTGTCTAGGTCATTTATAACTGAGCATAATTTGGGGTATTTTATGACAGTGGTACTGTCAGGATTACAAGTTGATCCAGCACACAGAACTGTGTCACACCTAGGACTAAGGATAACGTATAACGTTACCCTAAGGACTAAGGATAACGTATAACGTTATCCCGACTATTCCAAGAATAGTCAAAATACTTGCCAAGGTCATGAACACAGAATAAGACACAATGATGAGGTAAAGACAAAAGTCAAGGATACCAGAATTCAGGTTAGTCAAAACGAAGACAAAGTCAAATACCAGAAAATCAAGATCAGGAACGCTTTCTCAGATTACCATCAGGATGAACGCACGAGAGGGCAATGAGCAAAAGGAGAATTGGGTTTAATTACCCCTCCTATGGATCCAATTGGCTGTAACCGGCCTTTGACCCCAAAAGCAATTATCAGGTTTCCATATGCATGATTGCTACTCGGCACAACTTTTCCTGTCAGGACGGTAATGCTGCTCGGCACAACTTTTCCTGTCAGGACAGTAAATGCCATTAACCACATTTTTATGTGTGGATGAATACATGACAGGTGCATATCAAGTGTAAGAAATACCCAGCAAAAAAATGTAAAAAATGTTAAAAACATTCTCACGACAAACATTGACATAAATTGGTGAAAAAATAGTGGCAAATTAAGGCACAATATATGTCATATAAGATACCCTGGAGTGTCTACTTTCTCAAATGGAAGCCCTTTGTGGCGTTATTTGAACAGTCAAACTGCTATAATACCCCAAAATGAGACATAGGCCCATTAAATTCATCTATTAAAATTCTAACTATTGAAACAGAAATAGCCTTGTCTCTTATATGGCATTGTAACTTCACAGAATAGTGCCAAAGGCATACAATGGGGGCATTGTTATACTCAGCAGATGTAGCTGAACACAATACACACAATTCTGTATAGGGATAGCACACAAAATACATATGACAAAAAACATGTTTTATGTGTAATGCCAAAAAAACACAATTTTACTCCAAATATTTAGAGATTGGTGATGAAATGGCTACGTAAAAAGTGTCAAAATAGCCTTAGGTAAATAGACTGCGATGTCTACTTTATAAATATATACTTTTGTGTGGTAATTTTGTTTTCTTGTGGTGGCTACTAAACTTACAAGACAAACATACCAACTTCTAAAATTGTTTTAAATTTAAATTTTATTTTGTTACTTTCAAAATAAGTCAAGACACATAAATTAATTTATTTTGAATTACTTTTCCTAAGCTGAACATATTATGCACACATTATTGCATAAACAGTTTTTTCCCCAATTTTTTGGCATTTTTTTTTGCAATTAATAAGAATTCATATGGGCCAAACTGCCTATAGCAAACGACCCAGCAGTCAACTCTAGATAGTTGATATGTTCTCTGCTGATGTCCAAGACCTCCCATGGAGGCTGTCAGGCAAGAAGCACCCCATCCCCATTAACATGAGTTCGATTCCACGATGAAGTCTGGGGTGGGACCGAAGATCACTTTGCCGTTCCTTGCCGACATGTGGAGGAGCTACCATTGAAATTCTTCTTGGACTTCTGCTGTTAAGGGAACCATTTGGTCATATGAGGGTTGAAGTTGAAGAAACTGTGCTTTTAAGCGCTGCATGGCTCGATAATGCAATGGTCCTAGGTAGATGGCCTGTATTAAGGCTGAGAGTAGACCCACAATCCGTGCCAGCGTTCGAAGTGGAACCTGATCTAGATGTAACATCCTGCAGAGTTCCTTCCGGATTGCCGAAATTTTTGATTGAAGGAGGCAGAGGATGCACTAGGAAGCGTCGATCTCGAAACCCAGAAACTGAAACCCAAGGACTCTAGTAATGAGATTGTAAATTGTGTCTGAGATCAAAGTCTGGAGAAATCGTTGCAGAAAAGTAAGAGATCGTCGAGATAAATAATGCAGCGAATACCCCTTGCTTGTGAGCAGTGACTGGTTTCAGAAGCTTGGTGAAAAAAACCATGGGGCTGAGCTGAGGTTGAACTGAAGGCATGTGAATTGGAAAGGTCAGCCTTTCCAGAGGAAATGAAGGAAGTGCCTGCTTGCCAAATCCACAGGTATCTACAGGTATGCGTCCTTTAGGTCGAGGCGGGTAAACCAGTCCCCTGGGTGAAGGACGTCTCGAAGGAGGTGGATACCTTCCATTTTGAAGTGTGTGTAGACAACAAAGGAGTTCAGCCGTTGTAAATTTATGACAGGGCGATATTCCCCTGATTTCCTGTGGACCAGAAAAGGGAACTGAAAAATCCCCCATCGTCTTCTGAAGGTGGTATCGCCCCTTTGGCTAGTAGGCATCGAAGCTCCATGTAAAATCGGAGCTGATGTTCCTTTGAAGTGGACGTAGGGTACGGACGGTCTGGTTGGTAAGGCGGAGAATGAAACTCGATTGAATAACCCCTCACTGTATTCAAAACCCAAGTGTCTGACGACAACCTTGTCCACCTGTTGAAACAATGAGACAATTTGCCTGAATGACAAAGATAAGAAAGGTACTGAGGAACATTTCTCACCTGTAGGTAGTCTGATGCGACCTCGGGCCCTACTTCCTTTGCCACGATCTGATCTATAACTGAAGGAGCCATGTGGGTGGTAACTTGGGAAAAATGAAGGAGAGTGGGATCTTCTGTGGCTGGTAGGCCAGAAGCAGTTGGCAGTCCAACCCCTTCGGCGGCCAGCCCTGGCAAAAACCCAGGAAAGGTGTTGGTGAAATACTCTCTTCGTAGAGGATTGGGCTTTATTAAGCGTAGTGTAGAGAGTAACATGTTTGTGCAGCTCTTTTATAAAAGGCTCTCCAAACCACAGGCCATTGGCCAAGGGACCAAACTCTTTCAATTCCAGATCAGACAGTTTGCTGTCAATGCGGAGTAGCACCGCTTTTCTTCGCTCCATACATAAAATATGATGAAAAAATGTAAAAAAAACACACTTTTTGAGATTTGACCCCCAAAATCTGTAACGCATCTACAACTGCCAAAAAACACCCATGCCAAATAGTTTAAAAATTTTGTCCTGAGTTTAGAAATACCCAATGTTAACATGTTCTTAGTTTTTTTTGGAACGTTATAGGGCAATAAGTACAAGTAGCACTTTGCTATTTACAAACCATTTTATTTTCTAAATTAATGGAAGTTACATTGGAACACGAATAACTGTCAGGAATCCCTGAATAACCCTTCACATGTATATATATATATTTTTAAAGAAGACAGCCTAAGGTATTACACTTGGGGTATTTTCACTCTTTTCATGCAACCATTTTACCACCAATCAATACCAAATTTAAAAAAATAATAATAATTTGTGATTTTTTGTTTGATACACATAGCAATTTAAGAATACATGTATGTAGAACTTTAAGGGTTACTACAAAAGAACACCCCAATATGTGTTCAGCAAAATCTCCTGAGTACAGTGATACCCCCCATGTATAAGTGTGTTGGGTTCTCTGGGGTCTAAAAGACCTTATTTGGAGGGTGCGCATTCCAGTTTTTCAACTTTGAATTTTCACAGATGGTCATCATGCACCCATGTCCTATTTGGGACATTTTTGAAGCCGGCCAATGTAATTTACCCCCATCAAACCATATATTTTTAAAAAGTAGACACCCTAGGGTATTTCAAATGGTAGTATTTTAACACTTTGCATACACTAATTCTACCACCAGTCTTTGTCAAACCTTTGAATAGTAATTTTTTTGTGTTTTTTTTTCTCTCACGTTGTACTTTAGGCATGAATTCTCAGTTCCTGTTATGTGATATTGACAAAGAACACCCCAATATGTGTTCAGCAAAATTTTCCGATTACAACAGTGCCCCCAATGTACAGGTTTTATGGGTTTTTGCAAACTTACAGGGGTCAAATGTAAGGCTTTCCCCTTTTCCATGTTTGCACATTGAAATTTTCCAGATTGGTTTGCCGGGCCTATGCTGCCTTTGAGACCGTATAGCAGCCCAGGAATGAAAATGAACCCCATCATGGCATACCATGTGTAAAAGTAGACAACCCACGGTATTCAAAATGGGGTATGTACAGTCTTTTTTAGTAGCCACTTAGCCACAAACTCTGGCCAAAGTGAGAGGTTTTATTTTTTTTTGCATTTTTTTTACACAAAAACTCCACCCTTATAAGTGATTTCATCATTGGCTTTACTGATTTATAACACTGATATTTATGTTCAGCGAAGTCTCCCGAGTATAACATTACCCCCCATGTACAGGTTTTATGATGTTTTTGTTAGAGGGTCAATATAGGGCTTGCCCAATTCATTTTGGCAGATTGGTTTGCTGGGTCTGTGTTGCATTTCGAGAGCATATGGTAACCCAGGAATGTGAAATAACCCCATCATGGCATACCATTTTCAAATGAAGACAACCCAGGGTATTCAAAATGGGGTATGTCCAGTCTTTTGTAGTAGCCACTTAGTCACAAACGATGGCCAAAATTAGCATTTTTATTAATTTTTTATAAAAAAAAATTCAATTTATATTTTATATATATATATATATATATATATATAAAAATTATAGCTTTTGCACTCCTACCTTCAGCCAACGATACCTGGTGCCCAGCCACACTGCAATATAAAAATGAATGATTGCCAGCACTCCTGGATTTCCAACATCAAGTAGTTTTATTGTCTTAGTCGACGTTTCAGTCCCTAACCTGGGACTTTCAACAGGACACAGACAATAAAACTACTTGATGTTGGAAATTCAGGAGTGCCAGCAATCGTTTATTTATATATATATATGCCGGTGGTACTTGTCATGTGAGCCATATCCACTATCTGCTGTGGTGTACCACCGTCAGATAGTGGATATGGCTCACATGACAAAATCTTACCAGTGGTTAGAAAAGGCAGGACTGAAAGACAGCATTAAGGCATTAATCCTAGCAGCACAGGAGCAGGCCCTCAGCACCAGATCAATAGAAGCTGGAGTCTACCACACCAGGCAAGACCCAAGATGCCTCTGAGACAGTCCAGCACCTAGTAGCTGGATGCAAGATGTTAGCAGGAACAGCATGTACGGAGAGACACAACCAAGTTGCTGGGATTGTGTACCGAAACATCTGCACAGAATATGGAGGAAAAGTCCAGATGGGAGATACCACAAAGGGTAGTTGAGAATGACAGGGCTAAGATCCTGTGGGACTTCAGGATCCAGACAGACAAACAAGTGCTGGTAGACAAGGAATGAAAGACTGCAGTAGTGGTGGATGTGGTAATACCCAGTGACTATAACATCAGGAAGAAGGAACATGAGAAGGTGGACAAATACCAAGGACTGAAAGAAGAACTAGAAAGGATGTGGAAAGTGAAGGCAGTAGTAGTCCCAGTTGTGATAGGAGCACTCGGGGCTGTGATTCCCAAGTTGGTTGAGTGGCTTCAACAGATACCAGGTGGGACATCTGAGATTGCTGTCCAGAAGAGTGCAGTTCTAGGAACAGCTAAGATACTGCACAGAACCCTCAAACTCCCAGGCCTCTGGTAGAGGACCCAAAAATGAGGAATAAACATACCACCCAGGAGGGGTGAGAAAAATCAATGTGTGTATGTATATATATATATACATGCATATATATATATAATACGTGTGTATATAATTTGTATATGTGTGTGTGTATGCGTATATGTGTATATATATATATATATATATATATATTAACACACACACACGCTTTTATTTCCTGTATATGTATAACATATTATAATTAAAGCATTTTATAATATATTGTACATATATAATGCAAATATATGATTTCATTATAAGTGTATTTTGAGATATATGTGTATATATCTCAAAGTACACTTATAATGAAATCATATATATGCATTATATATGTATAATATATCATAAAATGCTTTAATTATTTTATAATATATTATACATATATAATATATGTATAACGTATTTATTTTACAGCTCAGACAGTACGCCTGCTGGCAGCTCCTAGAGTCCTATTGCGGCGATGTGATCATGGTGATCACATGGCCCTGGAGGGCCGGGGTGGCTGGAGCTGCTGCAGGGGGACAGCTGGGGTCTCTGGCAGTCCCCCCTGATCGTGATAAAAATAAAAACTGCAATAATTACACTTGCAGGGTTAAGGGTGGTGGAAGTTGGCACCCAGACCACTCCAATGGGCAGAAATGGTCGGTGTGCCTGGAGTTTCCCTTTAAGTAAAGAGAGACTTAAGCAAAATATGAAGCCTCCTGCCATGTAATAAAATTAATGCCATTGTGTGAATTATTTTATGTATTATTTGGTAATATGTGGAGAGCTATATGGCGATACATGAAGAAATAACAGCAATCCTAAATGAGCTAAAAATGCTCCAGACCAGCTAATTTCTCATTCTGTCTAATTTTGCCTAAAGATATCTGTAAATTCTACTTAACTGCAAACAAGCTTTACAATCAAAAATACAGTTAATAGCATGGTCAAGGAAACCACTGGAGTTTAATTTTTCACTAGAAATATTAAAACATTTAAAGAGTTACTCCGAGCACCATTACCACGTAACTGATTTGAAGTGGTCCTGGTGCCTAGAGTCTGCTTGGTGTAATTTCAACAAGGGTCTTTAATTGTTCTTACATCAGATAGGTACTTCTCCATAGCTCCAATTCAGCTAATAAATTCCAATGTGTGTAATATGTAATGTTGTACAGCGGTTGGGGCATTAAACCATCTGTGGAAGATTTCTGTCTACGTTTAAAGCAGTATGCCTGGTATATTAGGCATGGATGTATGAGGATGCATGGATGTATGAGGCAATTTTTTTAACAGTGGAACATTTACCTGCATTTACCAGAATACTTATGGCATTTTCCTGCTGATTGTACCACTTTTAAAATCACCATGGAATTACTGATTGTTGTTTTGATTTAATCACCATTGATGCTTTACCTGAGTATACATTCTAGGCATTATAACTACAATTTAGAGATTGTAGTGGTTTGAGTCTATGCCCAATCCATTCACTGTTTGCCAGTCACCACCATTCTAGATGGACAGAATTGATACTGGCAAAACGGAAGTGTAAATTGTACATTATCTATACGGTTGGAGAGGGGAAGGGCTGTGGATGCCAGTAAAATTTGAAACATAAATAACAGCTAGAACATATATTGAGATTAAATTAACCTTTTTGTGTTTGATTGCTGTATTTAGAGATAGAGTACATTTTCATGGAATATATACCGTCTATCGCTGTATTGTCTCATACCCCCCCCCCCCCCCCCCCCAATGTTAGGAGGTTTGGATTGTCACCTGGCAATTAATTAATAAATATTAATATTTTATTAAAAACTGTTACTTGCTTGTTTAAAAAAAATTATATTCTACATGTTTAAAAATTATACTTAAATGGACACTATAGATACCAAAAAAACAACAGATTAAGGAAGAAGTTTTGGTGTGTAGAGCATGGGTTCCCAATTCATTTTTCATGTGAAACCCTTTGACATAGTGTACCAACATTGTGGAACCGCCACAAAAAATTTTGTACCACAACACAAACCTTTTCATTAGCAGAGTGTAATGTTTTCTTTTTCTGGCAAATTTAGTTTTATTGGGTATATATATATATATATATATATACACTAATTTCTATAGATAGTAAACAGATTGTAGACTTAGGAGCAGGTGTGCTTCTTTGTGTACAGGGGTGTGTTTGCATGTTGTGTTGGTATTTTATTGCTGGGATGTCTGTACATACACTGCCACATACCAACTTACACAGAAATACATACACATTAACAAACAGAACCACACATAGAAACCCATCGACACACACACACACACACACACAAATACACACACTAACACACAGATACACACACACTTCCACATGCACACACTCAGATACACTGACTGACACAAAGGTACACAAACTGGCACCTACACACAGATACACACACAATCAAACAGACCCTCTAGACCAGGGATAGGCAACCTTTTAGCAGCACTGAGCCGTAGTGTGCCGGTTCTATTTTTTTAAATTGAGGTGTGTTTGTTGCCGTACCCTGCTTGTGTTATTAATACTGCAGTTGCTTTGTATCATATTTGTGCGTATATGAGCTATTATATGTTCACAAGTAGTTTGTGGTGTTGTGTATGATACCTATGAATGTGGGCTGTGTATGGGGGGCTACTTGTGGAATTGTGTGTGTGTGGATGGATATATCACATTGTGTGTTTGGTAGTGTGTGTATGTGAGGGGCTGTTTTGGGTATTGTATGTGAGACGATGTATGTGAGGTTGTGTGCATGTATGTGGATTGTAAGTGGTGTTGAGTTTTTGGGAATTGTGTGTATGTTTGTGTGTGGGCTGTCCGTATTATTTGTATGAGGGGAGGGTTATTCTGCATTTCTTTTTATATCTAGCAGTGTGGGTGGCTTCCCTTGGTTCCATTCGGACCAGGCTGGCCAGGTACAGGTCAAAGACAGGAGTTGCAATAGCCGCTGTGGGCTGCTCTACTACAGTGTGAATTTCCATACACAAGTGCTAGGAGGAAGTGATCTGAGATCACTTCCTCTGCGTGCTGTAATGCATAAATTGGGGATTGTCCTTCACCACCTTTTTGTATTAGCAGATATCTGAAATTTCACTGGGACTCCTGATAGGCCAGAGCCTGTCTGGCTCTAGCAGCCTTAAGTGCCATGCAAAGACACCTCAATGTCATATTCCGGCACCCGGCATAACTACAGATGGTGCAAGCTCGCGGCTATCGGGCCGCAAAGATACTCATTGCTCTAGACTGTAAGCTTGTTTGAGCAGACTCCTATTCAACATATTGTTCCTGTAAGTTTTTGTAATAATCTCCCTTATTGTTAAATCTCCCCCTCCTATTATATTGTAAAACACTACGGAATTTGTTGGTGCTATATAAAT